AGCAGCTGCCGCTGCGCTTGCAACACAAAATTGGATACCCTCAGAATGGAATGCAACCATCGCCCCACGGATTTTAATTAGGTCCAAACCGAAGCTTAGGTTTAATCGCCGAGCCAATTCTTTCACCGCCTGCAGTCCTTCAGAACCGTGTTCAACATGACCCTAGAAAAAAAGAAAAAAACAATTAGGAACGGTTTCGTAACTTTTAGATGGTAATCAACAGCTGGATGCGACATTTCGTTGTTCGGAAGGCAAAACGAAAGGCATAATGAAACTCACATTAGAGGTCGCCTCCAGTTCATTATAGCATAGCTGAAGGCACTGCGCGATCATTCTGGCCGTGTGTATTCGGTTGATCTCACGAGACTTAGCAAGTGTAGATTTCATAATATCTCCAAAGTCGTTGAAAGATCGAATGTAGTATTTGTAGAGTGGGGCTGCGGCGCGGATTGGGACGAAATTGTAGATGACTAGTTTGCAGAATGCGGCCAACTGCGTTCGTCGCTCGTGCAATGATTCGAATTTGGCGTTTTCGTCCTCCTCTTCCTCTTCCTATGAGGGGAGATAGGTGGGTGGGATTTGTACGAATCGGTGGTTAAAACAGAGTTCAAAGAACAAAGCGGTAAATTAAATAAACGACAATGAGCAACTAAACACGAACCATGCGAATGAGAGGAAATTGATGAGACTGATTTCGACAAACAGTATGATTCGTACAACGGGAGTGAACACGTCTATGGATATCAAATATAACGTTAAGTTAATAATATAATACTGTCTTTTTCCTTCCTTTTTTATTTATTGAATATATAAATGTACAGTCAACTCTCAGGAAGGGGGCCATACAAAGGCTGCCTGAGGAAAGTACAAATATAGGGAAGATGGGCGGTGGTGGAGCGGTTTGAACCCGGGACACCCAGGTCACTAGTTGGTGATCTAAACACTTGGCCACCACCGCCCCAGTTCAGCTAGGTATGCCATCGACGAGCCCCAGTTTGTTCGAGGGTTGCCAAGGCCACGTCCCCGCCCCAATATATATATCGTAAATAAGTTGCCGTGGAAACTTGTCAATGACCCCTCGTGACTAGCCTGTTTTTGGTGAATTTTGAGGACTTAATAGCCAATAACGAATGGATAAGCTGCGAGAAACGAAACTATCCTGAAGAATCGGTAAAATATGATTCCAAACGTCGAGAGACAAACACAGTAATCAGAAAGTACTCTGTTCACCGAACCGATCGCATGATAGAGTAACCGGGACAGTAGCGAATGATGCAGATCAACAGCAAGTATGCACAGTATTAATTATTAGACACGTATCTTCATGTACGCTCAAAGCATTGAGGGTTGTGGAGTCAGCACTTTTCACATCGACCATATTAGTTCCAGTTAAGTTTTCCTCGTTTCGAGCGGGATAACTTCAAGCCCACCTAATACAACGATAAATGCTTGGTACACATTGTGGGCTTGACATCGGTCGCAGGAGTTTGTTTCAAAATATTTCGGTGTGATTATGACGATAACGATTGTTGCTGTGTACAGGAAATGCAAGGTAGATCACTACTTTGTGTTTGTACACGCACAAGAGATAATAGACCGATGGTGAATCGAACACTGTACTTACCTCGTCGTCCACAAATACGCGACGTTCCAAGTAGTTTGTCAATTTGAGTTCAAGCTCGCGATCGGCCGTGTAGACAAGGGATCGTAGACTAGGGAGATGCACAGCCAGGTGGCGTGAAAGCACAACCAGAAGATCACAGACGGAAAGGAATGACTCGTAACTGAGTCGTTTAGAAGGATTGTCGAGGTAACCAATAGCGATTTCCATGAACAGATTGATCATTCGACGCACTTTGCTGATTTCAGTCTGCAGAACGATGTTCAGAAAAAATGAATGGATCAGTGGAGTTGCTTTTTCATAATCAGTGAACACAACCCACCAATAATGAGATTATTAAAGTAGTCGTCTGAAAGAACGGGAAATGCAAACAGATTGACCAAAAAACATCAAGAACGGCATAGGCAAACGACCAGAGTGAAAGCTGAAAGATTGGGATCGACTAAAAGTTTCTGTGATGAAAGCGATAGAAACGGGGCCACATAATGGCACAACTCAAACATCAGTCAACTCGCAGCAATCCGATCAGACAAACGGGAATTGTGCAATGAAGCAACTGGAGTTCGCGGTTAGTACATACCTTGTCCGCATCGGATTCACTCAATCGAGCAATGTGCCATAAAATCGCTTTGGTGCAACAAGCCACTGCTTGACCAACAACTTCTCCACTGGCTTCGTTACTAGCTTGCGCGACACGAATCAGACTGTCCCAGAGATCCAAGCCCGTCAGATCGTGGCACCTGAATGGTGGAAAAAGAAATGACCTGGAGTATAGCATAACTGTTTAAAACAACAACAAAAAACAAAAGTTGCAATTATTCCACTTATTCGACTATCATCGAATTGCATGGATCTCAGTTAGCTGTACGGCAAGGAATTATATTCACCATATCACTCGACCAAGTGTGTTCGTTTGTCAACCTGACCGAAAAACAGTGCAGGCCCTGAAACGATGCCCGCTGCATGGCTGGAGAAACTAAGATAGAACATCTCTTATATCATGGCTCTAATCAGTAAACTCATGTCAAAGGCAGTTATATGAATTATGCCGAGTGAGGACAATGAACCTCAATGCATCATCCATAGTACTAGATTTACAACCTGTTACTGTGTAACTGATCACAACAGAAAAACGAAATGTTAGTGAAAATCTAATTTTTCAAAATATCCCACAGAATCAATGGGAAATGGGTTTGGAGCAATCGCTTTCACGGGAAGTTGCCGGTGTTTTCTCGATGTTACTGGATTGGTGAAAACCAAAGTGATGGAGCAAGAGAATGTCACTAATTGATTAGTCTCTTGGATACAAGGGTGCTCCCCTCATTCTATAAAAACCTGGCCTATGAGCAAGCCTATGAATAATGAAAGCTTTTCCATTAATTAAGGCGGCTTTCTAACGTTTCCAATGAACGCTCCCCTGTTTTGAAATTTTTTCGGTTCCGAAATCGTTGGGGGACATCTGATCGGACAAGATTTGGTGACAGACTGTGGCAGACACAACACAAGCATTGCACGTGGTCTTTGTTAACTAGCGCAAAATAGACTACTGATGAAACTTGAATTAGGAAACAGTATCGTACCGATAAGACGCGATTATCACAGGTAATTTGTCAGTAATAATAGTATTACCCATTAATTGTTATGCTTGCTTTGACCATGCGAGTTACTTCTTAGTCAGGAATCTGAAGCCAATTAAAAGCTGCTGGGGGAAATGCAAAAGTAGGAAGGATAAACAAAAGATTGCCCAACATGGGAGTAAGCAAATGTGAAGGAAATGTTCGATTTGAAGAGTAGTCGTATTTCTAGCGCCAGTGCAGCAAACGTTTGCTTTGTAAAATGTCCAGCTGGGACGACTGATTGCTTTCTACGACAGTGTGCATGGGTGGGTGAAACGAATCAGCCTTTGGTCATGGGTTCGGTTTCGACAACCATAAACCTCGTCGTGACGAGTGACGGCGTGACTTCTATCCCTCCAGTACAGTACCCAGTCGGTCGGACAAATGACGGAGAGAACAGTGAATAGAAAGGATGAAAGTGAAACGCACGGATGGAATTCAGATGCTGAAATTAAACAAACTAAATCGGTATAAAAAGTGAGATATCCGAGCACCACGGTTGACGACGCTCATCCGCGTCAATCAGTTCCACCACAAGGTTCGCGACCGGAAAGTTAGATGTGAAATGTGTGACGGAGTCCACGTCAGAGTTCTAAAACTCCTATGGCCGGTCTCAGTTTGATGACTTTTGGTTTACTTAAACACATTACTCTGCCCGACGAACATCCCACGACAGTTATCATACTTCCGGAAACAATGAAGTCAGACAGATATTAAGAGAGTACGGGAAATAAGATGTGTCAAGAATACGGGAACTACTTTTAAACTTCTCGCGGGCATCATCCTTCGTCGATTGTCTACCGCACGTGAAAGCCAGACTGGCTTTAGACCTGGTCGAGGTTGTATCGATCACATCTTCATTGGACTGAACGGGGACCGCATAGACCGTTCGAAGGGCGAACAATAAGAAGAGCTGAATATCGGGACATAATGGGTTGCTGTTCTCACACCCCGCCCAACTTTCTAGCGGATTTGGTAAGCAGAAGGTATTTTCTTGAAATCTTGACTTCACAAAAAAGCTATCTGTTTGTGTTCAGGTAACCTAGAAGTATTCCGCTCACGAGGAAATCATAGACTGATCTCTTCGATAAACACGATTTTACCATGTGAAATAAAGTGAAAATAACAGATAGCACTATGCAGTTTAAGGCCGAATTAAACTTACGCATAGAAGGCATATATCCGTTTCAGAGCGGATAGTAAGTGGAATTCATCGTCTTGATCAGGTTGTTCACCCTGAAATAATAAGGCGGATGGGATGTAGTTGGTAGGTGTGTGAAAAATGGGACTTTTCACACGAATGAAACTGGCGTGTAAACAATTCGGAGAACTCGATTGAAATAATTGGTTGATACTTTTACCAGGCGCCACCGCATGGTGAATATAAACATATGATGAGTGCTGGTGTTTTATCATTAATAGCAGCTGCCTACATTGTTTGAAAAAATTAAAATCTAAAGCCAGCAGCCGAAAATTGACGAAGTGAAAAGCCAATGACCTAGGCCAACTACGCTCCCTTCATGATAGCATTATAGGGGTTCACCCTCTCTACGGTGAATCGGTTTTCTCTTCACCAAAAAGAAAATTCTCGACAGGATCACTGGCAAGACTGAAACCTTCTCCAGGTGTGCATCAAGTTTGCTGATTCGTGTTATTAAATACACCTTCTCATAAAGGACACTGAGAAATAAGAAAGAAAAGTAGTTAACCAAAAAGCCAAGAAGACCGCATGTTTTTTTGTAGGTTTACGTACAATCGTCAGATCAAAATTGTTACGCAAGTGCAACCTTTTTATTACACACTTTCAGTATGATGAACAGCAGACGGGGTAAACCCCAAGAAGAACTGTTGTGCATTGATAGAAACCGGTAACCTAAGACTTGGAGTAGCGAACCACATAGGACTCAGATGGGTTAACTGTTAAGATTTGATAAACTTACCTGGTCGTTGAAGTAGTTCAGGAACGCATTCCTA